TTTCGGGTCGGTGCAGAGGGGGAAGCAGAATGATCAGATCTATAGTCTCCACTCAGTGTTAATCAGGCAAAAATAATCCAATAATTCTCCTTTAAAACGTCTCCAATTCGGATGTTGGATTACTGAGATGACTCCACATGGAAATCTAGATTAAAGGAAGTCTGTGGAGGATTTGAACCCATTATCAGACCAATTTTCATATTCTATTATTACTATTAGTGGTAGTATTTACAGTGGGGGAAATAAGTATTTGAGCCCTTGCTGATTTTGCAGGTTTGCCCACTTACAAAGAATGCTTATTTTTCCTCATCAGATGGTTATCAATTTTTATAAATTCATATGATGTGATTTTCTGGAATTTTCTTTGGGATTCTGTCTTTCACTGTTAGAATGTACATATGATTAAAGTTATAGATCGTTGCATTCTTTGTAAGTGGGCAAACCTGCAAAATCAGCAAGGGGTCAAATACAGATTTTATTACTGAGAGAAAGAGACTGATAATCTTTCTTTAACAGAGAAGAAAGATGATGCTTTTTCTATGCATTTCTGTCTCAGTTATAACATTATTTTTTTTTGTTCTAATTCAAAAATACTTTTAAAAAAAGTCTTGATCCACCCAAAGGCCTGAAACACTAATGTGTGATTTTTACTTCAATCAAACATTTGTTGTTAGATAATAAAGATGCCAGGAAGTGCAGCCAACTAAAATTGACTTAAAAAACAGTTTATTAACACATTTAGGCGCAGAAAAATGCAACTTTAAATATAAGTTACAGTGTGTTTGTGCATAGAGTCCCAGTCTGGAGAGGCTGAACACAATAAAGGATGTCCTCTCATGTTTGAGTCGGTGGGGACTAGACAGCAAACTTGTCTCTGAGGTTTTTGTTGGTGTCAAAAAAAGTTGTGAACTATGATAAAAATTAGACCTGTTAAACTTCTCAAATCCACAATCCCATGAAGATATCATGTCTGTTTAATGGTGTTTCTATGTTTGATGAAAAATGATCCAAGCTTTCGCCTGGAGAGGAATAAGATTTTATTTCTGAGAGAAAGAGACTGATAATCTTTCTTTAACAGAGAAGAAAGACAATTCTTTTTTATGCTTTTCTGTCTCAGTTATAACATTAGTTTTTTTCTGTTTTAATTAAAAAAGTCTTTTTTTTCAAAAGTTTTGATTCACCCAAAAGCCTGAAACACTAACGTGTGATTTTTACTTCAATCAGACATTTGTTGTTAGATAATAATCAGGATGCCAGAAAGTGCAGCCAAACTAAAATTGACTTAAAAAACAGTTTATTAACACATTTAGGCGCATTTAGGTGGATCAAAAAAGTCTTAATCCACCCAAAGACCTGAAACACTAATATGTGGATTCTGTGATTTTTACTTCAATCAGACATTTGATCTTAGATACTAATAAGGACGCCAGGAAGTGCAGCCAAACTAAAATCGACTTAAAAAACAGTTTATTAACACATTTAGGCACATAAAGATGCACCTATAAATATCAGTTACAGTGTGTTTGTGCAGAGAGTCCCAGTCTGGAAAGTCTGAACATAATAAAGGATGTCCTCTCATGTTTGAGTCGGTGGGGACTAGACAGCAAACTTCCTGTGATTTTTACTTCAATCAAACATTTGATCTTAGATAATAAGTGGACCCAACTAATATTGACTTAAAAAAACAGTTTATTAACACATTTAGGCGCAGAAATAT